CGACGACTCCACGCCCACCAACTACTTTTCACAAGACGCGGTGGAAAGAATACGAAACCACTATGAGCAGCACTTCACGGAATGCGGCCGTGGCAACGATGTGGACGGGTATTTCTACCACTACGACGAACACATTGAGGAGGCACGCCAAGATGTTCAACGAGCACAGGAGCAGCACGACCATAGAGCACGACACACCATGGCAGCCCTTGGCTGCTGGGACCAGTGGGCGCCACCGGCGGCAGCGCAATTCCGCCACATGCTACACGGAGGCACAGCAGCAGGGCCAGACCAATGGGCGCCCTCGGAGCTCATGCTCCTCCCGGAGCAGGCACTGGAAGAGCTGGTTGACCTCTGCACATACTCTGAGTACCACGGATGGCCGTCGCAACTCCTGCAGTGGCGCCAGGTCCACCTACAAAAAGACCCAGACACAGCACTCCCGAGCCTGACCCGACTACGCCCTATCGCAATCGCGAGCGCCGTGGTCCGCGCCTGGCACAGATGGAGGGCAGACCAACTGGCCACCTACTTCAGCCCAGCTTTCCTGCCCACCCAGGGGGGCAGTCTCAAAGGGCGAACCCTCGAATCCCTCATCGAGCCATGCCTCTCGCTCATTGAGGAGACAATCGCGGCGAGCAGGTACGACGACGAGGACGGCTCGCTGACCGAGGAGGAGCAGCGGCTGGTTCGGGAGCGTCAAACGGAACTGCACGTCAAGTCGTGGCATAATGCCTCCGCATTCGACAGGGCTTCCCCCCGGGTCGTCTGCGAGGTCTGGTCGCGACTCGGAGTACCGTCCAGAATCACCAACAGTATCGAAGCGATCTGGACCAAGCAGGAGAGATGGGTTGAGGTCGGCCCGCTCTTAACACCACGGACAATTCTGGTTCAAGACAGTCTGCCACAAGGGGATCCGGCAGCCATGCTCGGGATGGCCACCCTGCTCATGAGGCCACTACGACGGCAAGCTGCTCTACACCCACGAGCAAATTTTTGCACCTTCGCGGACGACCGCACGGCGGCCACGACAGAGGCAGAAGAACCTCGGAGCATCGAGGAGGAGTGGGAGCTGCTGGAGTCGGTCACCGCGCTGCGCACCAACGACAGCAAGACGCAGTCCTTCACGATGCTACCGCACCAGCGTGACAACCACCACCTGCAGAGCAAGAAGATGAAATGCCTCGGAATCGACTTCGCGATGCAACGCGCGACGCTCACGACCAGAGAGCGAGGCAAGCTTGGAGAGAACTTGCCCGCATGAAACGGATTGCGCGCCTGCCCCTGAGCACGCGGCTGCGCACGACCGCGGTGAGCACCATCGCGCTGCCGGTGTCGAGCTGGGCACTAGTGGTGACGCCACCGACAAAAGGAGCTATCCAGGACCATCTACAACAAGCACTAAAGGCTGCGACCCTGCGGAAATGGCCCCGGGCAGCTCCCGAACTACTTCGAGTGGTAGTAATGGGGCATAGCACCGACCTACGGTACCACTTGTGCCGGCGAGCACTACAACTTCTGAGCAGCAGACTACGTCGACAGGGGCCTGGAGCACTTGCGCTTTGGGACAAGATCACGATCAAGACCGACACGCGGGGGCCACTCCACGCCTACCGAGCACACTTGGCATCACTTGGAGCAGAGCGCAGCGACGACGGCTTCTGGAGAGGCCTGGCGGGAGAGCTTCGACTCACCGACAAAACAAACCGACAGCTCCACGAGCTACGACTCATACTCCGATCCCACGAATGGGCAATCCTACAGGGCCGGAACCGGCGGGAGAGCCCCATGGCGGCCGGAGTGCCCTTCCCAGCTGCTGCCGCGCGCGCGGCACAGGAAGCACGGAAAGCTAACCCAATCCTCGCCTCACACATCGCCGCCGTCCTCTGCGGCTGCGTGGTCTCGGACGCCCTGCTGCAGTCCAACCAAGGCGAGGAGGTCTCGACCACCTGCGACCACTGCGGTGAGCAGCACGGCCCGACGCTCGACCACATGTACTGGATGTGCACAGCCAACGCCGACCTCCGGCAAGGTATCGCGGTACCAACGGCTGACCTCACCCGCCGGCGGGGCTGGCCGACAGAGGACCTCACCAGGAGGACCACGACTACTTGGACAAAAATGGTGTTGGCTATGGCAAGCATGCGGCAGCGTGCGCTGGACCACCGACACAAGAAACCACAGGCACCCACTTCCTCCGACAATGGTTTATAACCGTATTCAATGGTTATTATTTGGATCGCATGTGTCAACAATTGGATTATGTTGTACTTCAGTTCTTCTTGGGGCTGGTGTCTTCTATTCTCCAGGTACACAGTCTACATATATGTGGGATTACATTACATATTTACGTAATTGCATGTGTTGCGTACCATAAGTGCGGACCGCCACACAACGGTCGCCGCAGCTCTGCGAGCTGCGTGGTGTCCTCATACGCCTACGGATTGGGGACACGGATTGGTTATTCCCCCACGGCGGGCTCAAAAGGGAGAATGAGAACACGGTCCACGTCGGGTCCGACCCCGACTCCCGACTCCCGGGCGCCCGACTACGGTTGGGCAAGCGTCATGTTCTCTTAACATTGCAATTGATGCACATGCATGATAAGGTGGAGGGGAGGGGGCAACACCAGAACCTTCACCCAACCCACACCCCTACGACTGACAGTGGGAAATCTACTAGACAGGCAGGGGTGGGATATTTTGGGCAGAATTCAATCATGGTTGTGTTTGTGTTTGTGCTTGTGATGTTGCCTTTACACACACGGGTACACAGACATGACCGGGTGCAGATTTCAACCTTACTCTGGATATGCATTGTCTTATGCTTGGTTCCTGGGGTAGGGGCTACAAGTAGCTCGATGGGCGAGACACTTCAATACTTGCAGGGTCTCAATGATTATTATTTGGATCACATGTGTCATCAATTGGTTTACGACCGGATGCAGCTTCCAACCGTACTCTGGATATGCATTGTCTTATGCTTGGTTCCTGGGGTAGGGGCTACAAGTAGCTCGATGGGCGAGCCACTTCAATACTTGCAGGGTCTTTCAATACCTTGCTCTTGGTTTCACTACTACCGATTCTGGGTGATTTCAATTCTTCTGGTGGTGTGTGTGCGGGTGGCCCTTGGGTGTGGAGGGGCCCGACCTGCGCCACACGGCCCTTGGGACACGAACTTCCAGACCCTGGCCCTCCGAACCCCGAAGGGGTTCCGGAGGGAGGCGAGGAAGATTCGGAAGGCTCGGAAGAGGGGGGCTCGCAAGCGGGAGCCGTACGACGATGCACGAGCGGCCCGACGAGCAATCCAACGACTACGAGCAGTCCCACGAGCAATCCTACGAGCAGTCCTGCGGCTGTGGAGTGCGACCCAGCACAGCACAAGCAGTCCCACGACGACACAGCACAGCACAAGCAGTCCCACGACGACGCAGCACAGCACAAGCAGTCCCACTACGACGCAGCACAACACAAGCAGTCCCACGACGACGCAGCACAGCACAAGCAGTCCCACGACGACACAGACCCACGACGACGCAGCACAGCACAAGCAGTCCCACGACGACACAGCACAGCCACTCATCATGGATGCTGCCGACGGTTCGGGAGGGATTCAGAAGGACACCCAGCCGTTGCAAGTGGATGAGGATGGTGGTGCGGCCCACGATATATGGGACATAATACATATACTTGTTGGTTTTATTGCCAAGGCCATCGCTGATCTATCGATGATGCATGCTTCTGTTCTTGGTAATCGTATCCGTATATTTCCCGACTGTGACGGAACAATTCTGCCAGATATTGCCGCTACGACGCCGTATGTTGTACTTCAGTTCTTCTTTGGGCTGGTGTCTTCTCCCACGACGACGCAGCACAGCACAAGCAGTCCCACTACGACGCAGCACAGCACAAGCAGTCCCACGACGACGCAGCACAGCACAAGCAGTCCCACGACGACACAGCACAGCACAAGCAGTCCCACGACGACACAGCACAGCAATAGCAGTCCCACGACGACGCAGCACGACACTGCGCAGCACAAGCAGTCCCACGACGACACAACACAGCACCAGCAGACCCACGACGACGCAGCACAGCACAAGCAGTCCCACTACGACGCAGCACAGCACAAGCAGACCCACGGCGACGCAGCACAGCACAAGCAGTCCCACGACGACACAGCACAGCCACTCATCATGGATGCTGCCGACGGTTCGGGAGGGATTCAGACGGACACCCAGCCGTTGCAAGTGGATGAGGATGGTGGTGCGGCCCACGATATATGGGAAGTAATACATATACTTGTTGGTTTTCTTGCCAAGGCCATCGCTGATCTATCGATGATGCATGCTTCTGTTCTTGGTAATCATATCCGTATATTTTCCGATTGTGACGGAACAATTATGCCAGATCTTGCCGCGGAGGCCGGCGCCAGTGGGCTTTCGTACTCTCTGTGTGATGGACGACTCGACTTTCGTGCCGGGACAAGGCGCGATGCGGGTCAAGGGGGCAGCCGAACCACCGCACGTCAGCGGAGAGAGAAGCAGATTGCATCCATCGTCTCCGCAATCCTGGCCAGTGACAAACCACCAACAAAGAAAAAGAAAAAGACAAAAGCCCGAGGTTCACCGCCACGGACAGCCGCACCGGGACCAGCACCGGCGCAAGCACCAGCACCAGCACCGACCACAAACACTAGCCTACTGACCATTCTGCAACAAGCGGTGGCACACGCACCCAAAAACACCAGCGACGAAGCAATCCTGGACCGACTAGAGGAGCTCCTCGCCGCTCGGAGGACCCAACCGCCCACGACCACACCGCCGCGTAGGGGGCGATGGAGAAAAGATGCGGCCAACCAGAGCACAGCCACAGGTCAACACTCACCAAACACTGGTTCCAACCAGCCAGCTCCGACCCGGAGGTGGAAAGCGGATGAACCACGTTTCCCTGGCAAGCAGTTCTCGGGGGCCACGCAGGTCCTAAACGCTCTCCGAGAAGGCCGGGCGCCCGACGGCGACGTTGTAGTGCTGAACGCGGTCCAGAAGCAGGAGGCGGTAGAACTGGCCCAAGTACACGGGGTACAGAAGAACATGACCGTAATTGTGTCTGACACACCTGACAACGACCAAACGACGGCAGCTAACGGCGACGACACATCCCAGTGGGTAGCGGTCGTCAAAGGAGGCCGGCCGAGCATGAAGAAACTGGAGTGCACCAACCTTCAAGGGGCCAAGATTGACGCACCGAAACACGAAGTGGAAGGCCCTGAGCCGCCTGCTGTACGTGCCACGACCACGGTACGTGTGACAATGGTCAAGGAATTCATGACAGACGCGCAATGGAAGACGGCCCGCCAGCGGCCCGGCGCCGTGGCGACGGGAGATCTCGATAAGGACGCCATCCTGGCAGCGGAAGCCTTCTCTGAGGTACTCGAAGCAGGAAAATTGGTAGCCCTGATTGGGTACCTCACGGTCGCCGCGGCTGGGCTGGCCCCAGTGCTCGCCGCTTCCGGAGCCCACGGCCGCTTCTACAGGGTGCTTGCGAAGGACCGCTCGGGCCCAGACACACCAGTCCGCTGGATTAAACGGTTCGACGACGCGAGCCTCGACTACTATCGCCGTGTACAAGGTCTGGTGGCCTCAACGACCAATGCAACAATAGTCCTCCGGAATGGAGGAGGAAACAACCTTGGTGTGGTGGGAATCGACGTGGACGACGCGCAGGCAGTTACGACCCGACCAGCGGCATGGCGGATCCTACACGTCCCACGTACATGGACAGCCCACGAACTCAAAACTTGGCTAGGAGCAGCCGGGTGGACAGAAGTACAGGTTGAATCGCCGCCACAGAGCAGGAACGGGCCGTGGGTTGTACGGGCCCACCCACGCCGACCCGGAAGCGACACCACCGTCGACGCCTGGGCTATCACACTCAGAGGACAAGACCAAGCCATCCAGATTCAACGCTTCGTGCGCGGCGCGGGAGGCCAGACAACACAACCAACGACGACTCGAAGATGGCGGTGGGGTGCCGACCCGCCCGCCCCACCCGCAGCACCCGATGGCGTGGCAGTGCCTGGGGTGCACGACATGGACGTGGACTTGGACGCCGAATACATTACCGACAAACAGAAACGACAAAAACGGTACGACCAGGAGGACATGGACCTCGACGGCCTAGCGGAGGAGACCCGGACCACTGAGAGGGCCAAGAGGACAGCCGCACGGGAGGCGGAAGACGCTAAAGTCCGTGACAGGATCAAGAAAGCCCGGGGTGAAGTAGCGGCTGCGCCGGCAGAGCTACCAGGGACTGCAGGCCCAGCAGCCGCGCCAGCAGCAAAAGCAGCGGCCAAGCCCGCCGCGAAGCCGCCGCCCAAGCGGAAGAACCCGTTCGAAGCCATCGACCCCGGTTCCAACGGAGGCGACTGCGGATACCGGGCCCTGGCTGCGGGTTGGGCTCTGCTCGGGGGAGTCGCCAAGGCCACGCGGGAGAACACGCTGAACCCCGCCAAGCTCGAGAGAATGGCGAAGACCCTACGAGCGCAACTTGCACTACGTATCAGCAACAACCATGAGTTCTTCCAACACTACTGGGCCCACGTACCCCTGGGGGAGGGGAAGGAAGACGGGGCTATTCCGACCACCTGGGAGGAGTACGTCGCAGCGTGTAAAAGACCGAAGCGGTGGATCGACGGGCTGTCCTACCAGGCGGCATGTGACCATTTCAACCGACACATATACACATACACAGGGGTGGGTGCTCAGCTCAACGACGTCAATTGGGTAGACAAGGTAACTTGGATCCCACAGTCTCCGGACGCACAGCGAGCAGCACTACTGCAGCCTCCCCTACACGTGGGCCTGTGGAAAGACCACTGTTACATTTTACTGCCAGAGGACGGCACCAGGCACAAGAAGGAGACCAAACGACCGAGCAAGGCACAGCTCGAGGAACGCATCCGCAAGATATGCCGACACGGTGGCTCTACACGGAAAGCAGACAAAGATTCCGACTCCGAGGACTCCTGGATGGCGACCTTGGCCCGGACACGGTCTTCGAGGAAGCGGAAACAACCCGACACGCCGGACTCGTGGCTCGGCGACCTGGGGCCCACAGCGACTCCACGCACGACACGACGATCCACTCCTACCACGCCGCGCACTACGCGGAGCGCAGCAGCGACTACGCCCAAAGCTACTCCGACCCGACGCTCGACGCCGAAGGGGGCCGCGAGTGGCAGCAAGGCGACACCGAAGGCCCGGGCCAGCGGCAGCAACAGCTCCACCAGACCACCACCTCCCAAGAAAGCAATCACATGCACCGACGCAGCTACACGCCTAACGTGGACGTGCGGTTTGTGTGGCGACACGATCACGGCACCTGTCAACACCGTGCCCCACGCTGTGGGATGGAGTTGGAAAGGCAAGGGAAAGAAACATATCAGGAAGACACGGAAAGTCCACCCGAACTACCACATCACACACGAGCGGGCGAAGCACCTACGGAAATGGCACCCTGGGGAAAACTGGCAGGACGCTGGTAACTACCGACCTTCAGCGGAAGTGCCGCTTCTGTCCCACGACGTGCCCGACGACAAGGTCGCATGGACGTGCCCAGTGTGCGACATCCGCCAGCCTTTCTCGAAAAACACAATTACGTACAAGAAGATCCGGCGGGAGCACCGGCTGAAGGAGCACCCCGAGTACGACGACCAACAATGGCGGTGCCTAGTGCTAAGGGCTACTCTGCTGAAGAAGTCGCCCGACGGCATGCTGGATACCCGAGGTCGGCGGGACGAGCGAGCCAAAAGCCAAGTAGTCCTGCCTCCACTGCCTGTCCACCAGGTCCGGCCTCGAGCAGAGCGGCTGCGCCGTAAGCGGGAGGCACGGGAGAGGAAGAAAGCAGCAGGGCGCTGCTGAGGCGGAGCCAACCGCCACGACGACCAATTCCACGTCCGTCCTCCCTCCCCCTCCCCCTCCTCCCTCCTTGCCCCTTTCTGCGGGATGTACCACGCCAGCCGGACTACAGAGGGCAGGCGCGACCAATACGCCAATGAAGATGGGAACGATCAATATCGCATCTTGGGTACAGCATGGCAAGGACCTTCTGGCTACCGCCGAGGAGCTGGAGCTGGAGTTGCTGGTACTGCAGGAGCATGGGTGCCGGCACGCAGACATACCCAGGGCAAGCAAGCTCGCTGCTGACCACGGGTACGTATGGACGAGTGGAACCTCTTGTGACGACCATGTGGTGGGTACCGGGAGGAGTGGTAGAACACGGGACGAATGTGGTAGCCTCAGTGTGCTGACGACGGGCCGTGTCCGGGTCACCCGGATCGCGTCTGAGCGCCGGACGGGCACTGGGGGAGCTGTCGCTGGGGGTGAGGGTGCCATCTTTCACCTCCACACAGCTCACCGTACAGCACTGCTGGCTGTGGTACACTTGCGGGCGGCCGACGACGACGACGCACGGAATGGTATGCTACAGTGGGTGGCAGAACAGCACGCTACGTTAGGAGGGGGGATCCCATTGCTGATCGCAGGCGACTACAACACTACGCCGGAAGATCCCATCATTACCGAGACTGCACGGTTACTGGGGCTCCGGGTCCAGAGCCCAGGAGAGTCCACGAGGTGGGAATCGAGCTGGGAGATCGACTTTTTCATGGTCACGAAAACTATGACAACAACCAGGGCTGTGGCGAATACGCATACACTATCTGACCATAAGTTGGTGACAGTGGATGTGCAGTTCGACGCACCACAACCTACTGCCGGATGCTCGTGGCGGCGTGCGGCGCGGTACGGCACGCTGAAGTTGACTCAAGACGCAGCACGAGCGGACGCACAAGGCACCGCAAACACGACCACGACGCAAAGCACGAGCAGACCAACAACTCAGCACGACCCACAACAACATCCAACACGCGATCATGGCGCTGACGCAGCACCACGCAGCACGCCCACGACGCAGCACGAGCAGACCCACAACGCAGCACCACCGACCCATGGGGACATCGTGGAGGGCCTGGTTGCCCAGTGGAGGGCTTTACCAGCTTACGACATCCATGACGGCACCGTGGACGAGTGGTGGGCGGACTGGAGTGCACGAGCAGAGGCAGTACTACAATCCCAACCCGCGGTGGTCCTGACCAAGGGCGCTGTCCCTAAATCTGATTTCTCGTTTGCCCACTGGGAACGTCGGGAGAAAGGCGACGACGTCTGGACCCGGCATACGCGACAACTGCGGCAACTCATCCAACGGCTCCGGTCCCCGCCGGCACGGCGAGGGCGGAAAGCAGCCGGGAAGATCGCACAGTGGGAACGGCAAAATCGGAAGTTGTGGCAACAGAATATGGGCGGCGCCAAGCCGGACGACGACCAAGAGGCCATCGAACAAACTACCAAAGCGCTCGGCAAGGCCATCCAAGGGTGCAAGAATGAGCGTGTCAAATGCTGGCGGAAGAGGCTCCAGGCAGATGGTCTTGGGAAGACCACAGCAGCTTGGATCCGGAACGCAGTGAGCACCTACCACAACGTAGCGGTGCAGGACGACACCAAGAGCGACCATGACAGCGGGAACTTGCAACTACACGACGACTCCACGCCCACCAACTACTTTTCACAAGACGCGGTGGAAAAAATACGGGACCACTACGAGCAGCACTTCACGGAATGCGGCCGTGGCAACGATGTGGACGGGTATTTCTACCACTACGACGACTACATTGAGGAGGCACGCCAAGATGTTGAACGAGCACAGGAGCAACACGACCATAGAGCACGACACGCCATGGCAGCCCTTGGCTGCTGGGACCACTGGGCGCCACCGGCGGCAGCACAATTCCGCCACATGCTACACGGAGGCACAGCAGCAGGGCCAGACCAATGGGCGCCCTCGGAGCTCATGCTCCTCCCGGAAGAGGCACTGGAAGAGCTGGTTGACCTCTGCACATACTCTGAGTACCACGGATGGCCGTCGCAACTCCTGCAGTGGCGGCAGGTCCACCTACCAAAAGACCCAGACACAGCACTCCCGAGCCTGACCCGACTACGCCCTATCGCAATCGCGAGCGCCGTGGTCCGCGCCTGGCACAGATGGAGGGCAGACCAACTAGCCACCTACCTCAGCCCAGCTTTCCTGCCCACGCAGGGGGGCGGTCTCAAAGGGCGGACCCTCGAATCCCTCATCGAGCCATGCCTCTCGCTCATTGAGGAGACAATCGCGGCGAACAGGTACGACGACGAGGACGGCTCGCTGACCGAGGAGGAGCAGCGGCTGGTTCGGGAACGACAAACGGAGCTGCACGTCAAGTCGTGGGATTATGCCTCCGCGTTCGACAGGGCTTCCCCCCGGGTCGTCTGCGAGGTTTGGTCGCGACTCGGAGTACCGTCCAGAATCACCAACAATATCGAAGCGATCTGGACCAAGCAGGAGAGGTGGGTTGAGGTCGGCCCGTTCTTAACACCACGGACAATTCTGGTTGAAGACAGTCTGCCACAAGGGGATCCAGCAGCCATGCTCGGGATGGCCACCCTGCTCATGGGGCCACTACGACGGCAAGCTGCTCTGCACCCACGAGCAACCTTTTGCACCTTCGCGGACGACCGCACGGCGGCCACGACAGAGGCAGAAGAACTACGGAGCATCGCGGAGGAGTGGGAGCTGCTGGAGTCGGTCACCGCGCTGCGCACCAACGACAGCAAGACGCAGTCCTTCACGATACTACCGCACCAGTGCGACAATTACCACCTGCAGAGCAAGAAGATGAAATGCCTCGGAATCGACTTCACGATGCAACGCACGACGCTCACGACCAGAGAGCGAGGCAAGCTCGAAGAGGCACTTGCCCGCATGAAGCGGATTGCGCGCCTGCCCCTGAGCATGCGGTTGCGCACGACCGCGGTGAGCACCATCGCGCTGCCGGTGTCGAGCTGGGCACTAGTGGTGACGCCACCGACAAAAGGAGCTATCCAGGACCATCTACGACAAGCACGAAAGGCTGTGACCCTGCGGAAATGGCCCCGGGCAGCTCCCGAACTACTTCGTCTGGTAGCAATGGGGCATAGCACCGACCTACGGTACCACCTGTGCCGGCGAGCACTACAACTTCTGAGCAGCAGACTACGTCGACAGGGGCCTGGAGCACTTGCGCTTTGGGACAAGATCACGATCGAGACCGACACGCGGGGGCCACTCCACGCCTACCGAGCACACTTGGCATCGCTTGGAGCAGAGCGCAGCGACGACGGCTTCTGGAGAGGCCCGGCGGGAGAACTCCGACTTACCGACAGAACAGACCGACAGCTCCACGAACTACGACTCATACTCCGATCCCACGAATGGGCAATCCTACAGGGCCGGAGCTGGCGGGAGAGCCCCATGGCGGCCGGAGTGCCCTTCCCAGCTGCTGCCGTGCGCGCGGCACAGGAAGCACGGAAAGCTAACCCAATCTTCGCCTCACACATCGCCGCCGTCCTCTGCGGCTGCGTGGTCTCGGACGCCCTGCTGCAGTCCAACCAAGGCGAGGAGGTCTC